GCAGATCCTCACCAAGGTTTCTCCCCCTAGAACAATCACAGCCAACTCCAAGGCCTTCTGGGAGGATGCTGAGCTGCCATCCAGCTGGCTGTCTCCATCTGTTTTCTGTTGTTGGTACTGAGGCTGCAGAGCAGACAGTAGATAGAGGGGTGTGTCAGTTAGCCTTATGTCACTGGGACAGCACATCTGAGATAACCCACTGAGGGAAGCAAAGGTTTGGTTTGAATCACAGTTTCAGAGAGTTCAGGCCAGGGTCTGTTGGCTTCTTTGCTTTGGGCCAGAGGGAAGTCAAGCTTTGTGCATCTAAAGACACTATCTAGGGAATGAGGACTGGGGACATGGCCAGGTGGGTAAAGTGTTGGTCTCATATGCATGAGGATCTGAATTTATTCCCTGAAGTAAAAAAGCCAACTATGATGACATGAACTTGTGATCCCAGCTCTGGGGTGGAGACAGGTGGCTCCCTGGGACTCCCGGGAGAGCCAACCTTGACAATTCAATGAATTCCAGGCCTATGGAGAGACCTTATCCTAAAACCAAGATGGAAGAGGAATGACAGTTGAAGTTGACCTCTGACCTTCATGTGGATGTGCACATGGATGTACACATACACATTCACAAACACATGGAACCACATAAAGTAAAAATTCAAGGAGAAAGAGAAGAGAGCTTTGGAGTTAGCTTAGTGGTGGAATGCTGGATTGGCTTATATATGTGAAGTTTTGGTTCCCCAGTACTTTGAGTGTGAGGAGACAACCCCCAGGATGGGAAGAAATGTCTGCAGCTCAGGATTCTGTACGTAGAATTCTGATGAACTCAAACAGTTGGATAACAAAGCCATCCTTCACACCACCAGGAAGGCTGTATGGTTCCTCAGCTGTTACATCAGTGTGTTCTCACAGCCAGTCTGGGTATGGGTCAGCAGGGACCAAAGCTGCGGTGATGGAGAGGACAGACACCATCCAGCTGATCAGGATCACACTCCTGGATTGACTTAGCATTGACTAGTGTCTGGTCCTGGGATCCTTCATAGTAGGCAGTCAACAATGAGGCTCACCTCAGCAGGTAGGAGGATGCAACAGGGTCTTAGGCATGAAGGACAGAGCAACAGTGGTGGCCATCATTGTCTCTGTGGGAGAAAGAAGATCAGGAAGAGGGGCTTCTGTCTGGGGAAGAATCCACTGTGAGACACTACTATAGTGTTGAAATGATCCACATGACATAGTTATAGAAAACAATAATATTTGGCCAATTCATGGTTTAAGTACTGTTATTAATGATGAGACCAAAAACAAGCTTATGCCTCCAAAAAGTCTGTAGGTGCCCAAGCTCAGGGACACAGCATGTTTAAAGGAAAAAAACCACAAAGACCATAATTTACAAACAAGTTGGGTATAGGTCAGATTAATTTGAATTGTTCTTTCCTGACAGAGTAGAGTTACTATTTCAATCATAATTTTGAGTTATAGCTTCTTTATTTATTGTGATTTCCTTTAGTTATTTGGTCTATTCTGTGCATCATGGACATGTCCCTGGAACTCTCAAATACATGTGAAGGCAGACATGACTGTGGTGGGGGAAAAGAGAGAGCTGAGAAATCTGTGAGGAAACACAAGATGGAGTCAGAGCATGTAGGACTTACCTTAGTCATTTCAGTGAGGGCCTGCAGGTTGTCTTCTGACATGTCTGTCCACATTCTCTCCCTTGGACATAAGGACTAAGAGGGGGATGAATGGTCTTGTCACATGTCTGGTGATACAGAATTAATTGACCCCAAATAAATGCACAACTTGAAAAAACATGAAATATCTCACAGTGTCAGGCACCCATGAGGAGCCAGGCTGGATGATTCTTCCTCAGGGCCTCTCATGAGTCATTCAGTTGACTGAAGACTTGACACATGTTGGAGGCTCCATGTCCAAGTTTGCTCTCATGATGTTCTTTTTCCTCTGGTGCTATAAACTGAAGCAAGGTCTAGGATTTTCTAGGCAATCCCCCTACCACTGAGCTAACCCCCAGTCCTCTCACAGCTTATAATGGGAAATGTCTCTGCGCCTGCTCAAAGGGCTGCTCAGGGAGGCAGGTGCATCAATTGGAGGAGCTTCTCCACAGGCTCAAGATGTTAGCTGCTGGCATTCTTAGCTTTTGGATTGAAGCTAGTTGTCTGATAAGTTAATAGACTTCATTGTCACAAGGTTTCTAATCGAAATATATCTTTGTATACCTAGAAAACCTAACTAAGACGGTTATAAATTTGATTATTATAGATGACTAAAATCTGGGTTTTATAATTATACATTGCATTTTTAAATGAGCTGAATAACACAATAACCTTAAAAAAGAGTAAAAATATACATACAGTGTGGCAAAATTGACTTTAAATTTGTATCAATAGCCTAAAATTCAAACCAATGTAAAATATTTGAGATTAAGAGTTGTTTTTTGCCTAAAGTAGATGCAATAATCTACATCTTCTTTTCATCATAATAATCTACCCTTTTCCCCATCATTAATATATCATATCCCCTTTTCTGCTTTAGGAACAGATTGACTATGACCAACAAAACACTGGGTGCCAGGTATTGCAGGACAGAATTCTGGGTTCAAATCAGGTTTATTAACATGTGAAATCAGTAAGGTACACTCATGATACAGAACAAAGCTGACACGCAGCCACTGATTCAGCTGCTGAGGTCCTGCCATTCTGCCCAAGTGCGATGGGAACCAAACTGCAAGCCATGCTGTTCTGGCCCTCACTATCTACTCCGACCAGCCCAAGAGAGAGCAGGACCATTTCCCCACAGTTCTTAAGCGGTCATACGTCTTGAGAAAAGACAACACCCATTGGACCAAAAAAACCACTCCATACAATTGGCCATTGGACTGAATGGCAGAATTCCCACAACTATAGCCCCCGCTGATGGAGGCATTTTCTCTGTTGAGGGTCCCTCCTTTCAGACGGCTATAGAGGGTGTCAAGTTGACATAAATCTAGCCAGTGGAGAAGAGAAACAGCTGGAAATGCAGACTCTAAAATTTAGACTTGAACTAGTTGGGGTAAGCGGGGTGAGTGGCAGGAACCAGCAGAATCAAGTGATTGGCACACAGGAGTGTCAAAACATAGACACCTTAGTTCAGTTAGGGAGGGTAGGGCCCTTTCAAAAGTGCCCAGTGCTCTCTCCATGGTTACAGAAACAAATGTAATCCAGACCCGTCCCGCGGGCCAGGTTATTGGGGAGACCCGAGGAGGCACCTCCTGAAAGATCAATGGGGGCGAGAGAGAAAGGAGACCAGGCGCATAAAAGGAAGACAGAGTCAGTCTGAGTCGCGTCAAGGTCTTGTTTCTTGACTGAGTATTGAGGTTTATAAGCAGGGCTTCAGGCAGGGAGGGGGAGCAGAGGAAGCAAAAGGAGAGAAGAATGGAAAATTCCTAAGGAAGGGTGAGGTCGCTTTGGTCCCAGGCCCCTGCAGCTGGCTGATTAGCACCTACTCCAGGAAGTTGTACAGCCCGCGGTTAGGCCAGGAACCTGTTTTTGCAAGGTTTGATAAAGTAAGGAAGGTCACACAAAATTCAAGACACAGCTGTCCGGAGTCGGGTCTCCAACATAATCCAGTGTGGGGAGAAACATAGATTCATTGAGGATTAAACTCTCAAGGCTTCTCTCTCTGGGGTGGCAAAAAAAATAAGCCAAATGAAAAAAAAGAAACAGTTTTTTTTTTTTTTTTTTTTTTTTTTTATGACAGTGGGGTAGGGATCATTGAGCTGATTCAGCCTGTCTGGATGAAGGAGAACTGGGTGTCTGTGCCTGAGGTAGCAGTTGTTTTGGGGGAAGGTTAGGATGTCTCCTGATAAACAGAAATGCACCATGGATGATCTGCCCCTCTGGAACACAGAGATCTTAAACTAATGTTTACTCAACCAAAATCCTTGTTAGGATCAGCACCTCCATCATTTTGGGGACAACAGCTTTTGACCAAACACCAGGCTGCTGAGTGTGACCACACTGTTGACACAGACACCACAGCTCTCATCCTACGGGGAACAACAGACACTTCATAAGAACGATTTTGTGTGACAGGATCTGAGAACACAGATTTAGGTTACTCAAATTCCATATTCGAGTGTGGAAGCAGTTTCATGAAAACTTGATAGCTTAATCAAACCAAGTCACAAATCAAGGCAAGTTTAAAATGCAGGGGTGAGAACCTCAGGGAGGCAGATGCATCACCAAGATCAGGGAGCTTCTCTACAGGCTCAAGATGTTCTCTGCTGGCATTCTTAGCTTTTGGATTGAAGCTGGTTGTCTGCTAAGTGAATAGACTCTATTGTCACAAGGTTGAGTTCTGACACAGGGAGGAAACATGGCTGTTCCGGAGAGCAGCACTTAGCCTGTGAGAAGGTCATTAGCCCCTGACCTGCAGTGTTCCCATCTCTCTACAGTGCTGAAATTCAGATCAGCCAGCCAGGCTCTGCAGACACAGATTCCTCTAGGAGTTTTCCTTCACTGCCAGACAAGGCAGCTTCCCTATCAAGTCTGATAGTCAAAGAGGGGAGATGGAGTCTCTATTGAGAATATGCCCATTGCTGCCCGAAAGGATCGTTACACTGATGAAGACGGGGTTCTGTCAGGATCGAGGCATGTGTTTATTACTGTGTGAGTTTCCCTAAAGAAACCAGGAATCATGGGCATAAAGTTGTTGTGTTCTTTTGGAAATGATTAGAAAGTATAGGATAAATGTTAGCTGCAGCCCTATCTGTTGACAAGTGGGACAGGGATTGTGCACACTCTGTTTGCTTCTGACATGCCCAGAATATCAGGTAGTCTTTTTTAGAACACTTTGGGCAATTTCCCGTCAGAAGGCTCTGCTAGCAGAAGCCTCTAAATGCAATATTACCAGAAATCATTCTGTCTGCCCATTTCCAGTCTGAGCACAGAGAACAGCTTGTCCGCACTAGTATTTCCTAAGAAGAGGGAGGAGTCCCCAGTGGGGATAAATAAGCATTAGTGTGCTAGGGAGAACAACACACCAGGCAAGCAGCAACCCAGAACATCAGAACTCAGCTGTCATAGACGCTGGCAGCGGGCATCAGCTCTGCAGGTAATACCCAGGATTCCTACCTTCTGGGGACAGAGTTAGAACCTTCCTAGGACTGTTAGGTACTGGCAATGACCTGAAGTCTTGGTTTGAAGGAGGGATGATGAGTGGTTCCTGGGACACTGGATTGAAATCAGGGGATATTTCTGGGGTGCGTATGAATCTCCTTTCCAATCTTTCCAATCTGGGTCTTCATGTGTATGAAGATGTGGGTGCCATGGGCTATGCTCCTGGAGAGGGAATGGAGCCTGTTCCTTCTGACCCTCCATGGGGAGGAAGTATTGAGACCTTGTCTAGCCTGTGTGCTGCTATCATAGCTGGGGGGTATTGGTGAAATTATTAAGGCCACTCCACGTAGTTAAAAGGAGATTTATTTAATGGCATAACTTACAAATTAAGGGATAGGTAGGTCGCGGAGTCTGGGGAAGGTGTATCGCAGTCCAGCGGTGTTCTCTGGAGCTCTGCTTGGTACACCTCTCCAGTCCAGGGTCCCACAACAGAGAGAGAGCCCGCTGATCCAGATCTCCGGTCCCCAGGCGCCTCCTTTCGCCCCGCCTTGTAGGCGTGACAGTTGCCGAAGTCTCAATGGGGGTTGGAACTTCCAGATCAAAGCTGGAATGGCTACCCACTACAGGGGGGAGACAGGAGGGCTGCAGAGTCCATCTGGAGGAGGTGGCAGCCCTGCCATGCTTACAGCTGACAGGAGTTGCTTGGGGGTCAGGGACCCACTTCCCCCAGAGATCCCATGGCTGAGCAGAGGAGCCTCACCCTCCACTAGGGAAGCAAAGAGAGCAGTAGCTCAGCCCCTGAGCCAGGTCTCCTGCTGCGCACACCGTGCAGCCCCTTTCCTCTGGAACCTATCCTGGCACAAAATATTGCTCAGTGCTTTGCCAAAGAAATGCTTGCATCAGTCTGAAAGCAAATACAGCAGCCAACTTGCTGAGGTCCCTGGCTCCTCTGCAGGCATGTCACATCCCTGGGGACATGTGGCTCAGCTCCAGCACCTCCCTCTCCTGCTCCCTCCAGTCTCCTCCTACACTCTTCTGGTCTTCTCTCCCCTCTGCCTCCCCCTTGGCTCCTCCTCCTTTCTCTAGCCCTCCCTCCTCCCATCTCCCTGCCTGTCCACTTCCACTTTCTCACTCCTTCTTGATCTCTCCAACCCCCTGATGTCTCCTCCCTCCTCTTCCTCTCCCTCCCACTCATTTATCATCCACTTTCACCTTTGGACACCTGAACAAATGTTCAAGGCTAGTTGTGGGTGTCTGTGTTTACCATGATCACAACCCCTCAACTGTAGTCCTTTAGGATGCTTGTGGCCCCCACTCCAGGGGTGGATGGAAGAGATAGCCCTCTAGACATTCCCTACAACTAACCCATTGACCCATAATAAGCCAGACACTTACCAATAATGTAACCTGGGTCACTCACCAAGCTTCTCAGAGAAGTCTGCCCATTTGCCTGCTACCACACAGCCATCCTAAGAGCCAAAACAAAATCTGGTCCAGGGGTCAGAGACTGACATCACTCACCTTTCTTCCCAACAGGAGGCCTTTCAAACCTGAGGTTCAAAGCAACATGTAGTTCCCTGGCAGGACTGAAAGAACCTTGCCCTGTTTGTCCTGCCATGACCTGTTCTAGAGGTACCAAGGCTCTGGCACGACACCAGATGTCTCTGGTGCTGCCTCTCAATTATTCCTCTCCAGGTCCAGCTTCATGTACCAGATTCTGTCAAGGGCCTTGTGATTTCCCAGACTTGTCATCAAGAGGCAAGGTTAGGGCCTGTGCTAACCACTTCTTCAAGGACCCTAAGTTCTGCCTACATGGCGGGGTGGGGGGGGGGCGGTGAGTGCAAAGGAAGAGGGTTCCCAGCCTTCTAATGAATCCTTCTGCAGGAGAGACTGAGAGGAGACAATCTGATCAGACAGGGCTCGTCCCATCCCTCCACTCCTCTTCTGGCTTCTCTGTGAACCTGGCATGTCCATTCCCCTCTCTGGGTCTTGGGTTCTTGTGAGGAGACTGGGCTACTGCAATGCTTCCTCCAGTGCTGATAACAGGAGCATATGATGTGGTACTGCCATCTGAGTGCTCAGAGCACCTCCCATGCACAGTCACAGAGGCAGCAAGGGGCAGAAGAGCAGGTTCACAGTGCAGCCCTGTGGGAGGACAAGGACACCACCTGGTCCTCCCAGACTCAAAGGATCTTTACTTTTCAGCCTGGAGAGCAGAGAAGATGGCCCTCCGTGTAGCTCTGGGGCTCTTGATAGCAGGGATCTGCCCTGTTGTCCTCTGTCAATCAGATGGCACATTGAGAAGAGACACCGAAGTCCATGAAGACCAAAACAATGGGACACAAATGGACAGTCTGACACTGGCCTCCATCAACACTGACTTTGCCTTCAGCCTCTACAAGGAGCTGGCTTTGAAGAATCCAAATAAAAATGTTGTCTTCTCCCCACTCAGCATCTCAGCTGCCTTGGCCATCCTGTCCCTGGGAGCAAGGAGCAAAACCCAGGAAGAGATTCTAGGAGGTCTCAAGTTCAATCTCACACAGACCCCGGAGGCAGACATCCACAGGGGCTTTGGGCACCTCCTCCACATGCTCAGTCAGCCAGGAGACCAGGTGAATATCAGCATAGGCAGCATGATATTTGTTGAAAAGCACCTGCAGATCCTGGCAGAGTTCAAGGAGAAGGCAAGGGCACTGTACCAGGCTGAGGCCTCTGTGACTGACTTCCAACAGCCTCATGAGGCCAAAAAACTCATCAATGACTATGTGAGCAAACAGACCCAGGGGAAGATCAAGGAACTGATCTCAGACCTGGATAATCAGACAGTAATGGTGCTGGTGAACTACATCTACTTTAAAGGTGAGACTGCTCACTGTTTGGGGAGTAGAGAGAAAGAATGGTGACTGGGAACCTTGTGTCCTTATGCTGACCACTGGAAAGGTGGTGCTCACAAGCCTGGAGACATGGGTGCCTCCTTTCTTTCTACCCACAGGCCCTACTTCTCCCCTAAGATTTTTTTGGATACAGTTGTGGTTCCTGGCACATACTGCACAGAACTCCTGAGCTCTCAGTCTAAGAGGGCTCCTTATGGCTGTGACTTAAACTTACAAACTAGCAGAATGCATAGGTTGCATGTCCAGTCCTACCTGTGTTGGGAGAAGCCTGGGCTGCTCCCTGCAGAGATGAGGTCCCTTAGTCTGCCCTCTCCATCATTTCTAATCTGCTCCTGTAGAAGGTGTCCATCACTACTGGAGAACCTCTGCCTCTAGGAGACTCCAGGTGGGCTGGGGACCTCTTGACCTAAGGAGCCTGCTTACCCATCTTATGGTGAAAGGTAGCATGTCCTATAACTACTGAAGAGCCCTGTGGGCAATTCCTGTTCAGGACCTCTCCCTTGAGCCATTTTGGTAATGAGCTGGACCTGGACATGGGAAACAGGGATGCAGGAGCAGACACTAATGAGAGGGAAGTGTCAGCCATGCAGTGTTCTGTGTTTAGGGTGTGGGTGCCTCATGGAATTTTGCTTTTATAAAATTGCTAGCCCAAACATCCTGAAGGTTAGAATGCCCAAGATATACTCCAGGGCCAGTGAGTCTGATGAGAGTTGGGTGCAAGAGATTTGGGAGACTCAGTCTGAGATATAATCAGTAAAAGTAGTGGGGGGACTTGCAGAGCCCATACCCACAACACCCTACCTGACAGAGACCAGGGAGTTAGGAGACAGCCCAGAACTTGGTATCTGAGAGAAGTCATGATGTAATCAGATCTGGGTTGAATTAAGGATAGTGCAGTGTAGATGTAACCGATCATCTTATTAAATAAGAAACACAGAACGAATGCAAAGAAGAAAGCCAAGATCAGAGCTAAGAGCCTTACCCGCCTGCTGCAGCTATCCTCTTCAGCCAAGAGACCTCTCCAAAAGAGAGCTACTTCCTGTCTGTTTGTTTTTATATAGACTTTCTGTTCTGCCTTCTCATTGGTTGTAAAACCAACCCAATGTCTGCCTCGTCACTGTCTGTTGTACAGCCCTCCAGGTCTTCTGTGGTATTGAGATTAAAGGCATGTGTCTCCAATGCTGGCTGTATCCTTGACCACACAGAGATCTACCTAGCTCTGCCTACCAAGTGCTGGGATTAAAGGCGTGCACCACCAACGCCCAGCTTTTGCTATGGCTCTAATAGCTCTGACCCCCGGGCAACTTTATTTACTAACATACAACTAAAATCACATTTCAGTACAAATAAAATACCACCATAGTGCAGGGCAGAGGGAGGACAGGCTCTGAGACAATGAACAAAATCTCAAGGTGGCCATGGAAAGAAAAAGAGGCTAGGAGGACAGAGGACAGAGGACAGGAGCACAGGATGGCTGCCGAACTGCTGTGGGCTGGGAATGGTGGAATCAGAGCGATGGCCTGAAGGATAGCTGGGCATGGCTCTCTAGCCTCAGGACCCAAGCTCCAGTGCTGCTTGGCTGTGAGGTGGGGGTGCATGTTTAGGCTGCTAGATTCTAAGCCCAAGAAATTGTTTCAGTACCAAGTTCTGTAGGGATCCAGGATAAGTCTGAATGGGATATCTGTGATTTGTAGAGGTGGCCATAGCCCACGTGTGACATGAGGACTTGTTACTCACATTTTAGTCAGCAATCTATGGGACCATGGACTGCTCACGGTGTGGGAGAACACAGTCTCTCTTGTCCTGTTTTCCCTAAAAACCTGTCTCACAAGACATTGCCTTCAAGACATGGCTCCTCCTGAGGAAGAAGGGATCTTCAACACTCCCCAGGCTCCAGTCTCCCCACGTTTAATCTCATCTATCTGTTACACATCCCATGCCCAGAACCCTAACAGTTTCTCAGGAGCTCAAGTAGCCAGGCTTTGGTTTGAAGTTCCCCTTTCTAAACCAAGCTTGGAGTCTCTTCTCATCTCTAGGAACTTGTCCACCTACAAGGGTTTTTTTTTTTCCCAATCCAGACTATGCAACCTAAAGGACACTCTGTGTTGTTGAAGTTGGATTGATGGCTGTCACAACACAGCAGCTGGACAGAAATGGGACAGAGGTGGGGTCTCTCAAGTGACGTTACAAACTGATTACCTCTTCATCTTTAGGAAAATGGAAGATGCCCTTTGACCCTGAAGATACTTTCGAGGCCAAGTTCTACTTGGGCAAGAGGAGGACTGTGAAGGTGCCTATGATGAAAATTGAGGACTTGACTACACCCTACTTCTGGGATGAGGCTCTGTCCTGCTCTGTGGTGGAGCTGAAGTACACAGGCAATGCCAGCGCCCTGTTCATCCTCCCTGACGAGGGCAGGATGCAGCAGGTGGAAGCCAGCTTGCAACCAGAGACCCTGAGAAAATGGAAGGACTCTCTGAGGCCCAGGTGAGTGTCCACAGGAACCAGAGCTGGCCTGGCTCCCTATCCTGGTGTCCACGTCCCTCAGAGTCTCACTAGCACCTAATGTAATGATTAGAGAGACAAGAGAGACAGGCAGAGTGGGGGTAAATTTCCCTCTGCTGAGGATTCCTCTGTGTCTAACAGTCTGTAATTACAGGGAATCTTGAATGGGTTTTGGAAGGCAGAGGGGAGTGAGGTTGAGATGAGATCAGCTCTGAGAATCAACTTTCCCCGGTGTAGCCATCTCATCCCCTCATTCATTCACTATTCATTGAATAATGACTTGAAGACCTACTATCCGCCATGTTCTGACTTAGAACCTGAGAGTATATCAGAGACTCAGCACAAAATTTCTTACGCTTGAGGGTTCCTCTTATAATTGAGGAAGAGAGAGTGGGGAGATGGAAATGCAACTAATCATTATTTGATTAGTTAAAAGGTGAGGAGGGGTGAGATTGAGAAGGGGTTCAAGGATTAGGAAAGCTGGAGTCAGATGCAGAGTGAAATTTAATATAGTAGGATCATTAGGAGATGTCTGAGGGTCTACAGGTCAAGCAAAGGACTCCATTTTTGTGGATCTTGGAGGAAAGCATTCTAGGCAGAGGAACAGGGAGTACCAAGCCTCATTGCCTGGCCCCTGTAAACACTCTCAGGCACTGATGGGTAATTAATGCATTAGGAAGAGGAAAATCAAATGCTCTAGGCATGGATGGAAAGAGGGCTGTGCTCCAGTGAGAGGGCTGTCTCTGGTTCCCCAGCTATAAAGTGGGTTGATAGGGCAATGGAGCCCAGGAGCTCTTACATTTCCCCTTTTCATTCTCAGGATGATTGATGAGCTCTACATGCCCAAGTTCTCCATCTCCACTGACTACTGCCTGGAGAAAATCCTTCCACAACTGGGCATCAGGAAAGTCTTTTCCACACAGGCTGACCTGTCTGGGATCACAGGGGCCAAGGACCTGAGTGTCTCTCAGGTACGCCTAGAAACACTGGGTGGTTCTCATTGGTGCCTGAATGTGGGTGGTGAAGGCCAGGTGGTGTGTGGGGAAATGGCAAATGTGTGAAGAAGCCTGCATTTCTGAGATTCCCTCATCCTGGGAGAGCTGGATTGCAGCCTAAATACTCCTGCCGGATACCATGCAGCCAGTCCCTTGTCTACACCCTGAACAAAATATCTCCCAGGAGCCCAGTGCTTGGTGTTAAACCACCATAGCACCACACAGCACCAACCTGTGTTATAACGCGGATGCCAACCACAATCTGCTGCAGGGCAAATGCACTTCCAGCCTCAGCTTTTTCACTGCAGAGCTGGCCAGCACTTCTTGACGAGCACACAGAACAGCAGCAGTAAAGGAAATCATCAAGGAATGAATGGCAGTTGGGATGAAAAGATTAAGAATAGGGGAGAAGATGCCTTAGGACCCCACACTACATTCCCAGTTGCAGATTCTGGCAATGTCTGGTGTTCTGTCCAGTGCCCACTCTGAGACCTGGGCTCAGCTCTATACCAGCAGGGCATGGCAGTCTGGAAATGAGAAGCCATGCCCTGTGCATTCCTGATGTATGTCCCAAGGAGACTGGAGCAGGAGGGATGCTGTAGCCCACACTGGCTTTCAGCACCCTGGCTTTTTCCCTGTGGGTCTCCTGAGAAGTTGCCTGTGGAGTAAGCACTGGAGTTTCCTACTCCCATCCTCCAGTTTGAGGATGGGTTTGAGGGCAACACAGATTCTCAGAGACTGAGCAGACCCAGGGCATGCCTCATCTCACACCCTGAGCAGAGACTTGGAAACACCAAGGGTAGAGCTCGCTGTAGGAACAAACAACCTCACCCGCAGCTGAGGCCAGCAGTGGATGCTTGCTCCAGCAATCTCCTCTCGTGCCCTCCCTGACTTCAGTGTAGTGATGTCTTTCTCTTACAGGTGGTCCACAAGGCTGTGCTGGACGTGGCTGAGACAGGCACAGAAGCAGCTGCTGCCACAGGAGTCAAATTCGTCTTCTTGTCTGCAACATTGGACCCATTTATTTTGAGTTTTGACAGGGCATTCCTGATGATTATCTTTGACACAAATACTCAGACTCCACTGTTTTTGGCCAAGATCACAAACCCCAAAAAAGGCTAGAACTTCCCAAGTGGTAAGCCTTCTTCCTGGGAGCCAGGAATTGAGCCTGTATGTGGATCTCTATGTGCATTTTGGTTTCCATGCTCTGGTTGGCTGTGGCATGCCTGGACTGGACAGTGACAGTGACTAACTGTATGACTCAAACATGCACAGGGGACTGGGGACAGTCAGTGTCAGGCTCCCAGTCCTCCTGGCAGCACTGACTCATGTTCCTGAGCCTGAATTCTGTCTTTGTTACCCTCCTACTGCCATTCCTTTATCTGCCTCTACCCAAAAGCCTGGGCCCTGGCAGATAGGCTCAGTCCCTATCTAGGCTGTGGTGATATCTGCCTTCAGCTTCCGCGGACTGGATAGGACTATGCAAACTTATAGGTCAATCATGTGAACCTCAGTCCCAGCACTGAGAAGGACACCTGCCGCCTGGAGTCTTCTTCCAACATCTGGGACCACTGTGTGCCCAGTTCCTGCCTCAAACTCTGCCTCTTGTGTCCCTTGCAGGGGCTCCTGACCCTCCCCACATCTGGAAAATTTTGGATCCCTTATTCCTGAAGCTCATGGAGTCAGTTGGTCAGACCAGTTCCTTTCCCCCTAGTACACCTACTTAAGGCACAGGAGCCTTTTTCTAGGTTCCCCACTGACCAACCTCACACAACAGATGGATGCCTCCACCTTCCTCACCCAAAATGCAGGGCTTGGAGCCAAGGATCAATAAACATATAACTGCACAGAAAGTGTCCAGGCCGTGTTCACTCAGCTCCTATTGGCAGGGGTATGGCCTCTAGTGACCACAGAGTAGTAGAGATTGTCGCTCACAGTCTGTGACTCATGTGTTGGACCTCTAACTTACATGCTTATTGCAGCTCAAAGGGCTTGTGGTCAAGGCCTAGGACCAAGCCCAAATGCCCCCTTGTTAAAATCAGATTTGTATGGAACTGAAGTTATATGAACACCCTTATACCCATCAGCAGATTCGTTCACTTTCAACACATGGCATACATGTGTGCACACATATATGTTCATATATACACATCCATCTGTACATACACACACACACACACACACACACACACACACACACACACACACACACCTCCTTATCTTCCCCCCTCTGGAATGTTTTGAAGTGAATTCTACACCTTCTTGTTTTCTAAGAATTTTCCCTCTCCCCCACCATATAGACTCATGTGACATAGAAGCAGGCATTCTGAAGTATTCAGCATGGTGACAGTTAGTTCCCTGAGCTCCCAATGCTGTGCAGCTCTTGGCTATGAAGGGAGCTGGAGCGGGTTAGGTTTTCAAGCACTGACTTTTCCTCAAACAACAAAAATTCCTCAAAGTGTTTGCCAGTGACAGCAAAGCCAAAAGGCATACCAAGGACGACAGTAAAATGTCATTAATTAGGTCAGAATCCTCATGAGATGGGTTTGCCTTTCTGGGGAGGGCACTGGAACTCGAACTCAGAGCCTAACAAATACTGAGAAAACACCCTCACACTGAGTCACCCCAGCCCTGTTCTTACATTTCTGCTTTGACACAGTGCCTCACTAGGCTGCCCTGATTAAACTCACTATCACATAGCTCCTCCTTGGCCCCAAAGAAGGAGCAGATGAAATGACACGAAAATGTGCTTCTCTGTCTCCTCACTGTGGGAGGGCAAAGCCAGTGAACTGTCAAGGAGAGGCCACAGCTGGAAAAGTCCTCCCCAGCAGGCCTGAGGAGGGCACAGAAGAGCACTGCTCTCCACTCCCAAAGACTCTAGGTGGAACCTGCTCCCCCTGCCCAGCCTTGGCCCTCCCACTTCACTAAAGTTCCAGTGAACAAAGACACAGCAGCTGGGCCTTCCCTCTGCCTGTCCTGGCCTTTCCCATCATTGGAGTTCAGAAAACCTCCCCTCAGGTCTCACATTTCCCTCCTGCCTGGGCCTAGTATAGTTTTTATCCACCAACATGATTTTCCAGTTGGTCTAGCTTCAAACTATTTTAGTCACTTCTGAATGGATTCCAGAGCCCCTGATGAGTCACCCCCATCGCCCCTCTCCATAGCTCCCGACAATCGTTACACTTCGCATGCATATTAATTCCCACGTTCTGCATATTGCATGCTCTGTGATGGAGTCACATCACACAGACCCTACTGTGTCTGGCTTCCACTGAGCTCATGGGTGGGCTCACACACACTGCAACAGGAAATGGCACCTCTTTCCTTTGTCTAGCATACTAACAGTGTTTGGCTAGAGCAGGGTGCTCATCCATTCATTGGTTGGTAGGCCCTTGAGTTGTAAGCCCTTGACTGACGATGAAGAACCGTCATGGGAACTGGCAGCAGCACCTGTCAAGTCCTTAGTTCCTGTTCCTCTGAGGACATACCTAAAGTGGAAGAGCTGCATCATGGGACTGTCAACCTTTCCAAAGATGTCACCCCTTTCTACGTTCCTACTGGCTGTGTAAGAAGGCTTTGAATTCTACCTACCCACAAAGACACTAATTACCTTCCTTTTACGTTTTTAATAAATTCATCAGCTCACATTTATGTATTTGGTGATTTGTGTGTGTGTGATAAAACCCATGGCTTCTTGCATGATAGGCACCTTTAGGAAGGTATGGTCTTCCTGACCAGTGGATGTGAGTGGTGACTTTGTCATCCAACTGTTCGAGTTCTTTAGAATTCTAGGTACAGATGCCTGAGGTGCAGACATTTCCTCCAATCCGGTGTGTTCTCTCCTCAGTCTCACAGTACTGGGACCCAGAACTTTGCATATTCAAGGCAAGGCAGAATTCTACCACCAAACTCCACCCCAGCTCTTACTTTCTTTCTCTTTTGTGGTGGTTTGAATAAGAATGGCCCCAGAGGTTCATATATTTAAATGCTTAGTGAGTAGCAGCATTTGAAAGGATTAGGAAGTGTGGCCTTATTAGAGCAACTTTGTCACTGGGGGTGGGCTTTGAGGTTTGGAAAGCCCAAACTAGGCCCAGTGGCTGTCTCTTCCTGCTGCCTGCAGATCCTGAAGTAGAACTCTCAGCTCCTTCTCCAGCACCATGTCTGCCTGCATGCTACCATGCTTCCCACCATGCTGACAATGGACTAAACCTCTGAAACTGCAAGCAAGCCCCAATTAAATGTTTTCCTTTATGAAAGTTGCTGTAGTTATGGTGTCTCTTTACAACAGCAGAACCTTGACTAAGATATTCTTGAACAGTTATTTAATGCGTGTCTATGTGTTTATGAATGTGTATGTGTGCATCCATGTGCATACCCACAGGGAGGTCAAAGGTCAACCTCAACTGTCATTCATTTTCAGGTGCCATCCATTTGGTTTTTAGAACGGGGTTTCTTCATAGGCCTGGAAGTCACCAAATTGCTGAGGGTAGCTGGCCAGGGACTCCCAGGGATCCTCCTGTTTCTAACTCCCCAGAGTTGGGATCATAAGTTCATATTACTTTGGGCTTTTTTGTTTCTATTTCAGGGAATATATCTCAAGTCCTCATGCATGTGAGACCAGCACTTGACCCACCTGACCTTGCCCCCAGCCCCTAGCCCCTTGACAGTGTCTTTAGATGCACAAAGCTTGACTCACCTCAGGCCCAAAGCAGAGAATCCAGCAGACCCCGGCCTGCACTCTGAAACTGTGGTCAAACTAAACCTTTTGCTTCCCTCAGTGGGTTATCTCAGATGCGCTGTCCCGGTGACAAAAGGCTAGCTCACCCACCCTTCTCATAGTGTCAATTCATGGTCATCCTCTCAGAAGGCTCTGGAGTCTGGCTGTGGTGGCTTCTGTAGGGGCAGAAAGTTCAGTGAGGACCAGGCAGCTCCCAGTGGTTACCCCCTTGGGGAGCCACACATCTGGGTGGAGTTACCCTTACACTTTCCTCATCCATAAAAGGAATGAATGACGGCATGTAGGATTGTCGGGAGCTATGGGGCAGAGCAATGGGGGTGACTCATCCATGGCTCTGGAATCCATTCAGAAGTGACTAAAATAGTTTGAAGCTAGACCAACTGGAAAGTCGTGTTGGTGGATAAAAACTATACTAGGCGCAGGCAGGAAGGAAATGTGAGACCTGAGGGGAGGTTTTCTGAGCTCCAGTGATGGGAAAGGCCAGGACAGGCAGAGGGAAGGCCCAGCTGCTGTGTCTTTGTTCACTGGAACTTTAGTGAAGTAGGGGGCGAAGGAGGGGAGCAGGTTCCACCTAGAGTCTTTGGGAGTGGAGAGCAGTGCTCTTCTGTGCCCTCCTCAGGCCTGCTGGGGAGGACTTTTCCAGCTGTGGCCTCTCCTTGACAGTTCACTGGCTTTGCCCTCCCACAGTGAGGAAACAGAGAAGTGGATTTTCGTGTCATTTCATCTGCTCCTTCTTTGGGGCCAAGGAGGAACTATGTGATAGTGAGTTTAATCAGGGCAGCCTAGTGAGGCACTGTGTCAAAGCAGAAATGTAAGAACAGGGCTGGGGTGACTCAGTGTGAGGGAGTTTTCTCAGTATGTGTGTGGTAGTCTGAATGTAATTGGCCCCCGTAAGATCATAAGGAGTGGCACTATTAGGAGGTGTGGCCTTGTTGTAGGAAGTATGTCACTGTGGAGGTGGACTTTGAGGTCTCCTATGCTCAAGCTATGCCTAGTTCAGACCACTTCCTGTTGCCTGTGGGTCAAGATGTAGGACTCTCAGCTCCTTCTCCAGCACCATGTCTGCCTGCAAGCCACCATATCTCACCATGCTGATAAAGGACTAAACATCTGAAAATGTAAGCTAGCCCAATTAGATGTTTTATTTTATAAGAGTTGCCATGGTCATGGTGTCTTCACAGCAGTAGAAACCCTAACTAAGATAGTACATGAGGCTCTGAGTTCGAGTTCCAGTGCCCTCCCCAGAGAGGAAACCCATCTCATGAGGATTCTGACCTAATTAATGACATTTTACTGTCGTCCTTGGTATGCCTTTTGGCTTTGCTGTCACTGGCAAACACTCTGAGGGATTTTTGTTGTTTGAGGAAAGGTCAGTGCTTGAAAACCTAACCCGCTCCAGCTCCCTTCATATCCAAGAACTGTATAGCATTGGGAGCTCACGGAAGTAAATGCCACCATGCTGAATACTTCAGAATGCCTGCTTCTATGTCACATGAGTCTATATGGTGGGGAGAGAAAAATTCTTAGAAAACAAGAAGGTGTAGAATTCACTTCAAAACATTCTAGATAGATAGATAGATAGATAGATAGATGGATATGTTTGATGCCACTCCATCTCCTTATATGTATGAGTGTATATAGATGTGTATGTGTGTGTGTGTGTGTGTGTGTGTGTGTGTGTGTGTGTGTGTGTGTGTGTGTGTAGCTAGAGTTTTCCTGCCTGGTCCACAGTCAGTACAAATCTCTCTCACCTGCCAGTCCCACAGCCGCTCAGACCTGACCAAGTAAACACAGAGACTTACTTATATTGCTTACAAACTGTATGGCCATGGCAGGCTTCTTGCTAACTGTTCTTACAGCTTAAATTAATCCATTTCCATTAATCTATACCTTGCCACATGGCTCGTGGCTTACCGGCATTTTCACATGCGGCTTGTCATCATGGCGGCTGGCAGTGTCTCTCTGACGCAGCCTTCCACTTCCCAGTTTTCTCTCCTCCTTGTCCCACCTATACTTCCTGCCTGGCCACTGACCAATCAGTGATTTATTTATTGACCAATCAGCAACACATTTGACATACAGACCATCCCACAGCACTTCCCCTTTTCTTTTCTTAAAAAGGAAGGTTTTTAACCTTTACACATCTCCAAAGTCAGCTTGGTATATTTGGGAATTTGGGCGTAGCTTCTCTTACTATTTCCTGCTGGAGGGGGGCGCTGTATCTTATGGGGAAACAAAGAAAATTTTAGGATTATGGAGTAGTCCATGAGGCTGTATTGTCTGAGCCAGTTGCCTTGAAACCATTCTGGATGTTGGATCATCTGGGCCATGGTGTCATCGGAGACCTTTCAGGGGGTCTTGGCTGGTCAAACCTGATGTATCTTAATCTGGAACAAATCCATAGCCTCTGGCTTTCTGTGGAAACAAAAGCAGAGCCTCCTTTCCAAAGCAACATATCTTTATATCCAAATTTTGAAGTCAAGGTACCTTTAAAATATACATTTTGGCATAACTCAACAGCTTTTGTAATCAAATGTTTTTCTTCAGTTACGAATATCAAAGAGAACATAATCCAGATTCTCTGTGTGGTAGCCATCTTTACTGGCTTATTTTTTTTATATTAGCTTGAGCCTATTGCTTTAAACTGCAGCCTTCTAAGACTGAAACGGCGCTGGCGCTATGGCTGCTGGCTCCGCCCACTTCAGCTTCCCAACATGGCGGTGGTACATTTTCCGCCAGCTCTGGGAGCCATCAACTCTCAGAAATAGTGGGTCTATGCTTCTATCAAAGCAGCGTGTAGCCCAGAAACCTCTTTTTGTTTGTTTGTTTGTTTTGTTTTGTACTAGCAAAGGCTAAATCCACCACACAGCTTAATGTGCCACTTGCAGAGGCCTCATTCCCGCCATACTGCAGGTTGAGCATGCACGCCAGGAACCCGCCATAGTAGCTCAAACACGCAGGCTGCCGCTAGCTTAAAAGAGACAACTAGGAGGTGTTTTTAGCTCCGTTTTAGAATCTTTTTACTCAGGTTTTAGGTGGAAACTCTTGCCAACACGTTGGACGCCATTTGTAGCTAGAGTTTTCCTGCCTGGCCCACAGTCAGGACAAATCTCTGTCACTTGCCAGTCCCAAGCCGCTCAAACCCGACCAAGTAAACACAGAGACTTACTTATATTGCTTACAAACTGTATGGCCGTGGCAGGCTTCTTGCTAACTGTTCTTACAGTTTAAATTAATCCATTTCCATTAATCTATACCTTGCCACATGGCTCGTGGCTTACCGGCATTTTCACATGCGGCTTGTCATCATGGCGGCTGGCAGTGTCTCCCTCACTCAGCCTTCCACTTCCCAGTTTTCTCTCCTCCTTGTCCCACCTATACTTCCTGCCTGGCCACTGGCCAATCAGTGATTTATTTATTGACCAATCAGCAACACATTTGACATACAGACCATCCCACAGCATGTGTGTGTGTGTGCCATGTGTTGAAATGGTGGAATCTGCTGATGGATGTAAGGGTGTTCATGTTCCTTCAAGTTCTGTACAAGTCTGATTTCAACAGGGGATCATTTGAGCTTGTTCCCAGGCCTTGAACATGAGCCCTTCAAGGTGCAGTAAGCAGAAGCAAGGGAAGGGAATGGATACAGGACTCTCATGGCAAACCCACATGTCTCCAAGAGAAAGTACTGAGGCTGCTGGGACTTAGGCAGACTGTGTGGGTGCTGCTTGCAGGAACAGCAGGAAGAACAGGGCACAAATAAAACCATAGCAAGAGGGCTGGAGAAGGACACCTGGCTCGTAGACGTCTCCCTACACTTAGTCAGCCAGGTCACTTTTACGCCATCCTTGGCCCCAAGCCAACTGAGGAAGGACCAGGGATGCAGTTGCTAA